GACTAAACACCGGCACTGCCAGGCAGCCTGAGCGGGAGCCCACCACGCTGCCCCAAAAGCTGCCCCCCAAAAATCCGCCAGCACATGGTGGACAACGGCGGCGGGTACCGCGGCGGCTCGCTCATCGGGTGGCTCCGGATTCCCAGCGTTCGTTGTTGAAGATGCTTTGTCAGATCTTCAGCGTGGGATTTAGTCAGCGCAGAACCGAGCCAGCCCCGTGGCACGTGCAGAGCTGAGGGTTTCAGCTCACGCGCTTCTGATTTATCAGCTGGAGCCTGGAAAGCTCCATGTCTTCCCGTGCTCTGCAGACCTCCCACCCCTCTGGTAGGTCATTGCAGGAGCCCAGGCAGACCACGGGACTGTCCCGACGCAGAGGGACTAGGTGGATGCTGGGCTGCAGGGATCACAACCGTAATTCAGCCGGTCAATGGGAAAGGCAGAAGGCTGCTCACCAGGTCCCTCAGGCATGAACTCAATCTCTGGGGACTGCTAAGGGGTTGGAGATGGGATGTCACCTCTAAAATTAAAGTGCTTATGAAATGAAGGGTTGGTGATTTGAAAGCAGCTGCCGCACAGGATGCCCTGGTGATTCCCCAAGGCCACATCTCAGTGGGTACAAGCAGAGAAGGCAGCTGCGGAGCTTGACTGAACAAGCTTGTGGCAGCTCCCCCAGGGCATGCAGCTCTGCAGCTCCCAAACAAGCGTTCCACCCTCGGGACCTTCCCAGACACCGTGACCGAGTGAAGCAATGACAGGCAGGCACAAGGCTGCCTGATGTGCGTAATGCTGAGGACACGCTGCTCCAGCCTGTCTGTGTCAGAGGGATGCACACCAAGACGCCCGTGCTCACCTGCATCCCAATGATCGCATAGATGAAGAAGAGCATGGCGATCAAGAGGCAGACGTAGGGGAGGGCCTGCAAGAGAAGCAGATGAATCATCTCATTGAGCACAGGTCCAGCTCCAGAGGAGCACAAGAAGCACAGCGAGCTGGGAAGCTGTGCCCATCTGTCTCTCCTACAAGCCAACAAGTCAACAAGACCTTGGGAACAGCCCGCACTGGGGAGCAGCACCCCAGCACTGTGGCCTGGGAGGAGACCAGGTCACCTGTGACTTACCTTGAAGGACTGCACGAACGTCCAGAGCAGGATGCGGATGGTGTAACCCTGGCGCAGCAGCTTGATGAGCCGAGCAAGAAGCTCATGTTGAAGCTGCTGGTGTTCACCAGCTGGGAGGAGATGAGAGGGTCAAAGGGAGGTGGGAGCCCCCCCAGCCCACAGCACTACACCCCACTGCTCCCAGCCCCTGCTTCACCTTGGTGTCCGTCAGGATAATCTCCGTAATGCTGCCGATGACGGTGATGAAGTCAAAGATGTTCCAGGTGTCCCGGAAATAATTCTGCAAAAGGAAGGAGAGAAGGAACGTGGATTTGAGCTCAGGGATGGCAGGTGCAAAGGGCGCTGGGCCACGGGCCCAGGCCGCTCGTGAATAACGGTGGTGGAAGAGACTTTGCCACCCATTTGTATGCGGCCACAGTCTGGAGCATCATCCCGCGTCTGAGACAGTGGCAGACCTGAATGTGTCTGCGGTGAGCAGCTTCTCCTGGGAGATGACTCACATGTCCAACAGGCCACCTTGGTCAATGGGAGTGCGAAAAGCAGCCACAGCCAGCCCCAGACAGGCTGTGAAGGCTCGTCACGCTGACCTTCACAGCCACAAGGCTGCTTTGCCCTCCTCTTTGTGGGCACCTGGACCCTCTTCAGCTCCTGCTGCTGTGCAGCAGCTGGTGCAAGAATGGACCTGACCATAGCTGGCCCACTGGGACCGGGGAAGATGACTGATGAGGTGGACTTCATCAGATGATGATGGTGGACCACCAGATGAGGTGGATGATGGCTGATGAAGTGGACCACCAGATGAGGAGGACCTCATCTCCCAGTATGGGTTAGAAACAGGAAAGAAACTATAAAAGAGGAAATCCAAGAGTTGCTCCTAAGCAGCAAAGCGTAGCTGAAGAAAAGGCAGTCCATGGCTTCAAATCTTAAATAGCAGCTGAGAACCTGAGGACTGTGAATTAGGCTGGGAGGTCTCACTGCTGTTCAGGTCTGGTCCAACTGATATAGCCCAAGGACAGCAATGCACCAGCATCTCGTGTCTCCCGGGGACAAGGACAGACATCAGCATGATGGCGGCAGCAGTTGGCTTTAGCAGAGTGGCTGCGCGGCACGTACGTGGTCCATGCACCAGAGTGCAGAAGCAAGTCAAAAAGTAAAGGAATGGTGTGGCTTCCCCCACCAGCATCCAGCAGTGGGAAGTTTAATGAGAACCAAAGGAGCAATTCCAACCTAAAAGCAGCTCTTAGGCTGGGACCCAAAATAAACAGCTACAACCTCACATTATTAACACCTTCCCCCTGTGATCTGTGTGCTGCCAACATCCAAATTAACACCCTCGTCGCGAACAGGAGCAGCCACTCACCAGGAAGCCAAAAGCGATGATCTTGAGGACGCACTCCAAGGAGAATACCATGGTGAACGCGATGTTCAGGTACTTCAGGGCCAACTCATAGGTGTACGGAGCAGAGTAGTACTGATGAAAAGAGAGAGACATCGCTAGCCAGGAGGGAGCCTGCTAGCCTCTTGGCTGATGACCATCCCAGGGAAGACCTGCGGTGGCCCATGCTCCTTGCCCTGGGTGCCTCAAAACCATCTCCTCCTTCCCCTCTCCACCCCTCTCCCATGACAGCTGCCACTGCTTCTAAGAAGGAAGCACAGAGTAAATCTAGATCTTTCTGCAATAGTTATGAGATCCAGATCATTCGGGTCATCTGCTTTAGGGAAGATCGCAGCTCCAGTTTGGGGCATGTGGTGTTCCAAGCGATTATGCCAAGGGAATGCATGCTCAGACTCTGTCTCAAAGCATCTCCTAGAAACAACCAAAATACCCTTTGGTCCCATCCTGACCGATCGTCCTTCTCCCCATCACCCCAAACAGGACAGGCTCACCCTGATCGACTCACCTTCATCATCAGCACCACGGTGTTCAACGCTATCATGGCCATAATGGTGTACTCGAAGGACGGGGAGACCACAAAGTGCCAGACCCGGTACTGGAAGGTGTGCCGGTTCTGGGGCATGTACCGCGTGAGGGGCTTGGCGCTGATGGCAAAGTCAATACAGGCCCTCTGGAATAAACCAACGTGCATCAGACCCTGGCCGATGGTAATGTGGGGAACGGTGGCTGTCACACTTCTTCCCTTCATGGGTTGGGCAGGCAGGTGGCTCACGGGTTTCTTACGCCTGGGGAGCTCCAGGCTCCCAAACCCCACCTGTTACCCCAGAAAACCCATAAAAACATTCTTTTTCCCCGTCCCCAGACTGTACCTCATTCTTCTCCAGACTGCACTCCTCCATCATTTTGTCTCCTTGCTCTTGGAACGTGATGATGATGAGAGCCACGAAAATGTTGACAAAGAAGAAAGGGAAGACCACAAAATAGACGACATAAAAAATGGACATCTCCATGCGGTTGCTGCGACTGGGCCCACGGTCCTCCTCTGTCACGTCCACCGAATGCTGCAGCACCCTGTGGGCAGACAGGCAGAGAAAAGCAACCGGAGATATGCCCATCAGGACTGCCACCACACAGCATGTCTCATGAGACCTCCTTTGTACAGCCGGCTCTATCTATCCGCAGTTGCAACGATGATAAGATAAACCTCTGTCTTATTCTCCTGTAGAAGGTTGGCCCTTCTAAGTGGCAACAGCCTGGCTTACCCTCCTTTGCCTGTGCCCCTGATGGAAAAGAGATTTTCCAGTGCTCCATGTACAGAAAAAAAAAAAAAAAAAAATCGCCCAAACTCACATGAGCATGAAGAAAGGGCTGATCTTATGGTCTTCTCCAAAATCAAGCAGAAATATACCTCAGGGCCAGGCAGAAGAAGGGATTATCCACCATTTCCTCCCTAAGGAAGAAGCTAACCCCAGCCACCCTCCCCAGGGTAAAGCTCTTTTGTCCTGACAGTTTCTCACCCTTCCTCTCCTCCTCCCTGCCCAGCAGTTTCTCTCTCAGTCCCACCTGGGCGTAGCCAGTTATTAACCCCACAACTCCAACTGGGGATATGCCCACCCCCATTCAAGCAGGATGGAGCAGAATACTCACTGGGGCCAACCCTCGCCGGTGGAGACAGTGAACAGGGTGAGCAAAGCCCAGATGATATTGTCGTAGTGAAACTCATGGCGTTTCCACTCCCGGCACTTCACCTCCATCTTGTTCTTCTCATGGTCCACGTAGTTCCCTCTGCAAGGTCAGGAGAGAGTAGGGACATTGGTTTTTACACTGCCAGACTACAAGACAGTGGCTTTAAACCCTGGGGGCAGAGTGTGTGTGCGGTGCAGGGGACACCACTCCTCCTGTAGAACTGGAGGAAGAAATGGGGGGAGGCTGGACAACACCTGGGGGGAAGCGGAGAGGGTGAGAGAGAAGGAGGAAAGAGAACAGGAGCAAAATATGGGGCTCTGCGTCCCATGCCCCATGCAAGGATGCACAGCACTGACCGCGACGCAGACAGGGCTCAGCCCATGCTGTCTGCTCCAAGAGGCTACAGCCAAGAATGAGTCACAACCAAGGGACTTAACTGAGAACCCAAAGACGACATTACCCAGCACCCTGCCTTTGCCAGAGGTGTCAGCAGCATCAGACCTACTGAACGGTGCACCTACATGCAGTCCTTCTCTGTGTCCTTAGAGCTGTCAGTGCAGTAGAAAAACTTCCCCTTGAAGAGCTGGACGGCAATGACAGCAAAGATGAACATGAAGAGCTTGTAGACGATGAGGATGTTGAAGACGTTCTTGAGGGAAGTCACCACGCAGTCGAAGACGGCCTGCAAGGAGGGCATTACTCACCTTGGGCAACCAACGGCCTTGGCAAAAGGCAGGACCAAAACCTTCCTCAAGACTGCCATGGGGGAAAGACATTTCCCACTCCTGGGGTGGAAAGGAGGAAGGAGCTGGGCTTTCTCCCAGGCAAAGGGCTGTTTTATGAGCAAGTTTAACACCTGGAGTACCCCCAGAACACACATAGAATTATTAAGGTTGGAAAGGACCTCTAAGATCACCAAGTCCAACCGCCAACCCGATACCACCATGCCCACTAAACCATGTTCTGAAATGCTACATCTACATGTTTTTTGAACACTTCCAGACATGGCGACTCCACCACTTCCCTGGGCAGCCTGTTCCAATGTTTGACCACTCCTTCAGTAAAGAATTTTTTCCTAATATCTAATTTAAACCTCCCCCGGTGCAACTTGAGACCATTTCCTCGTAGAGCCTGAGCAGCCCCTCAGACAGCAGCAGAGATGGATATTTATACGCTCAATGTTCTCTGCAACCAGGGTAGCAGATGGAGGACCACCCTAATAATGCAATTAGCAGCGCTCAGGACCAATTAGCAAACACTTCATTGGTTCACATCCCCCTGAAGAACACGGCAGAGTGAATACCTCTGCCAGCAATAGCAGCACCTCCCCAGGCTGTGCCCTCAGCCCAAGTTCTCACAGTGCTTTAAGAAAGAGAGGAATGTCCCTATCCCTGCTTTGTGATGGGGGCAGAGGTGTCCAGAAATGAACTGACATGGGCTGAATCCACCCACTGATCTGGAAGAAAAGCTAGGGTCAAAACCTGTGTCTCGGGGGTGCCACCCTGGGCCTCGTCCATCAGCCAAATAAACCTTTGCGAGAAAAACTCGGGGCTTCCTCAGTCTCTTACTCCTTTTTGGCTCTTTACCCCATTGGCTAAAGTAGGGAAATCCATAATCCAGCCTGTGCTGCATAAGTAATCCCTCTATTCAGCTGGGAAATTCCCCTCCAGTGCAACACCATGACAGCAGAGCACACACAATCCTGGGTTGTTTGCAAGCTGCTCTGGTAGGAAAGATAATGAACCTCGGAAAGAGATTTGAGCTCTCCCAAACCTGAGGCAGCCTGTGTTACTGGGAAAAAACCTGGGCTTTGCTGCCTCATGCCCACTCCAGCCCCAGATGTGCAGCAGCTTGAAGGGCGTCGCGTTTGAAAACCGGGCTCCTAAAACACAGCAAATGCTTTGAAAACTACTCATGCATCGCTCATGAGAACATCGCTGCACGTGGTCCCTGCACCAACTGGTCCGTGCTGGAGAAGACAGACATAAGGCAGGAGATGTTGGTCATTACCTTCAGCTTGGGCAGTCGCTTGATGGTTTTCAGGGGCCTCAAGACCCGTAGCACACGGAGAGACTTGATGGTCTTGATATCCCGGCCCTTGTTGGTCCTACCGCGTCAGAGGGAGGCACAGGCACCCAAAAACAAAAGAGAGAGACAATAAACTTGCAGACCCGGGGCTCAATGCTCTGGGGGGGTTCTCAACAGCTGACACCCACCCCAGCATGCATGAAGATGAGAATGAGAGGGCCATATGCCACCATGGGGGCCAGCGATCACAAACGTGTGACCGTTGAGTGCTCAGCCCACCCAACCGAGTCTCCTCCAACGCATGTGCTGGCAGATGGAAAATAAATCAACCCTCTCCTCCCGGGGATCAGGACCTTTCCGCCTTGCTGGGGGAGCAGCAACCTTAGCAAACCCTCTTGTCGTGATGGCAGGGCCAGGGCAGGCGACGCAACGCTCTCCCCGCGCAAGGGCAGCTGCCCGAAGGGCTCTGTGCCACACTGTTCTGCCCCGTGTCCCTGAGCCAGGCTGCTCCACGGGGCCAGGAGGTTTGTTTCCTACCACAGGCAAGTGCCATTGGCAGGCGGGGCTTGCAAAAGGCCATGACCTTTGCAAATTATTTTCTTCCATTGTTACTGGCTGCGAGGGACTCACGATAAAACGAGGGGGATGCCCTCAGTGGAGTCTACATGCAGGTCTCTCACCAAGAATATTCTGTCCTGGTCTAAACTCAAGATTCACAGTCGTCACATTTGGCACCTGCCCTGTGCTAGGTTTCTTTGCACAAGTGTTGTCTCCTACAGCTTTCTGCCTTGTTCCATCAGTGCTACCCAACTTGGTCTTCCATCTCACAGAGTCTCAGCCTTCCCTCTCCAGATCAGGACAGTGCTTGCCTCCACCCCAAGTCAGTTGAGGGAGGCAGATCTTACTATTAGGATTATCTAGAAAAGCAGTGCTAAGAACCCTCTTGACCTTCGTTCCTTGAATATGGTGATTACTCCCAACCACAATATGAGGTTTTTTTTCTTGTCTTTTAACTAAAGCCCGTGGGCTGGATCCCAGGATGGAGCAGAGAGGTCCTGGTGAAGGTGGCATGGTTTGTATCCACTGGGCACCCTCAAAAAATATCAAGGAAATGACTTAGAACAACAGACACGGCAAATTACACTGCTCTTTTACAAGGGTTAATGCAACAGGGAGCACAATAATGGACTTAATCATTAAGGGATGTAAACAAAGCCACTAATTAATAGTCCTATCTGGAAGCACAGTCCCACAAACACACGGGAAGCAACTGTACCAACAGCCCCAGGACTCAATTTGCACATCCTGTCTCCTGCTTTGCTCAGTATCAGGGCCTGGGTAAGGGGCTGGGGTGAGGATCCCAAGGCAGCGCTCAGCTGGTGCAAGATGCCAATCAAGAGCAACTCAACTGCAATGGTTTGCATTTGCCGAGGAGGGACCTCTTCAAGCCTCAAGAAACCTCCTCCTAGATCCTGCTTGGAATATGGATATAGGTCTGGATGACACAAGGAGGAAAGCTTGGCCTTTCTGTGTCTACAGCCAAGGCTGAGCTCTCCCTGGCCCCCTGAGCTTGGCATGAACCACCTCCCATGCCCTTGGAGGACGTCAAGGCTGAAATCCCTGCGGTGTTTGAGTGCAGGAAAAGCCCCTGCCAGGGCAGAGCCTTCAGCTCTGTGGCAGATACCGCTTTCCCCATGTCCTGCTCCCCTGGGTGTGCTTCACACCGTCTCAGGGACAGACACTGAGATCCATGATGAAAGCACCCTCCTTTGAAGGCAAGGGACTCATAGAACGGTTTGGATTGGAAGGGACCTTCAAGATCATCTAGTTCCGACCCCCTGCCACGGGCAGGGACACCCTCCACTACACCAGATTGCTCAAAGACTCATTCCACCTGGCCTTGAACACTTCCAGGGATTGCATTGCTTGCAAAGAAAACCCCGCCTGCGCTTTCCTGGTGCATATCCCCTTTAACGCATCCCAGGGCAATACCAGTGCACGTACAGGGCAACGTACTCGGGTCCCTGGGAACACAACTAAGGATCAGCACAGGCGTCAGACAGACGGACTCTTGCTTGTGCCTGTCACCCCCCACTCCCCAGGGCGGCACCCCGCAGCAACCCGCACGGCATAGTTACCCCAGAGCATTCCTGTCGGCGATCCAGCCCAGCAGCACCACACAGCACCAACAGAGAGAGGGAGAAAGAGAGAAGAGAGGAAGAAGGTAAGAAAAGCGGTGGGGGAGCTGCACGGGGATGACTGCAGTCTCTCAGGCAGCTCTCTGCTATCCCATGCCTAGGTTGAAAGGCACAATGAGTAGACCACGTTGTGTCCTGCGGGACGGAGCTTATCTCCAGGGAGGGACTCATCCAGTGAGCTGGAAGCCCCTGCCCTCCCAACTGCAGATTTTGGGAGGGAGCACGTAGTGAAACCTCTGCTGAAAGAGGAACCCGTGGAGAGCAGGACGGTGGGCAACAGCAGGCAGGCGTGTAGTCCTCCTTGGCCAAAGGCAGATGCCTCCAATGGAACCTACCTGCAAGGCCACCAGAGTTCTCATCCAAACAGCCTAACTCTGCTAAATCCTCTCCAAGAAATCCACCAATTAAGAGCCTCAGCTGCCCCACAGGATCTCCTGCAACCCAGCAGGACACTCGTTCAGGCAAGCCAAGGTGGTCTACAAGGTCCCTAGTTGTAACCACACCTCCGTCCCTGCTTGAGTCCCTGCCCCGTGCACGCAGAGCACTCAGCACCGTGGGCAAAGCCTGCACAGTAAAACATTCCTTAAAACCCATAAAAATAATCCCATGGCTGCACGTTAGCGAAACAGGTGGAAGGTGCATTGAAAAGGCGATAGCTGAACTCCACAGCGTGTCTGTGATGGGACATCAGACCTCTGACCTGACCAGCCTCACACCAAGTTATTCCGCAGCATGTTGGGGTCCCTCTTGCTTCCAGACCCTGGTGCCGATGAGCACAAGGCGATGCCGCTCGGCAAAGAAAGAGGCACCTCTGCTGGGTACCTCCAGCTGGAGAAACTCCTGCCCATGCTCACCAGGTGAGACAACGAGGGCTATGAACTGATCACTCAACCCTTCCACCATGCTTTGCACCACTCAGCCTTTCCCGCTGCTGTGAGCCCACCAGCATCACTGCCCCTCGGCGGCTCCACCACGCCGCGAGCCGGAGCCGCTCCTCTGCGCAAAGCCTCCTCGCAGGCTGCCGCGGGTGGCGAAAGTGAGCAGGGTCTTTAGTTACGGTTCGGGTTATTTCAGCTAATTTAATTTGAACTCTTTGGAGATTTATGGGTTTATATCAGGCTTTTTATTTAGGCTGCATTCAGATTGACGTATTCGCTTTCCATGCGGAGAGCTACGGAGGAGCCAAGACGACCTCTTGCTCAGGATGGGCTTGGAGGGGGCAGCCGACAAGTCACAATAGCACATGAAGACACACAGCTTTACGGGTGGACACTCGCTCATTGGTGACTTTGATGGGGCACAGCAGATGATGGTGGCACTGCTGGACCAGCTCAGAGACCTCCTGCGCTGCCCACGGCTACCCGGGCCCCCCACCGGAAAACCAAACCACAAAGAGGGGGCAAAAGGGCCTGAAAACCCAAACCGCATGGCGTGTCCCAGCACTTCTTCTACTGGGAGGAGCTGGACCCAGTCACCAGTCGCTCTCAGTCACGTAAATGCTGCAGTTGCTCTGTGGGCATCGCTTTGCCCACCCAGCACCGTGGAGGTGAGGAAGGGGAGAGGGAGGACATGTCCCTCCCAGCCCCGAAACAAAGAGCTTGTGGAGGGAGAAGAAAAGGAGAGGGATTCAGACACGGCTGTCAGAGTTTTCCTCTCGAGATCAGGATGGAGGGAGGGCGGATGGCGGGTTGGGACATGTATAGCTGGAGAACATCCTGTAGCTCCTGGGGCCGCAGTGGTGACAGGCTGCCAAGGAGAGAGGCAGGTGTTCTTATAAATGCTTTATAATGTATAAACCCATCAGAAATTGCTGCGGTTCCTTTGTTCCCATCATTCCCGAAGCCATGAGGTCATCTCCTCTGGCAAGAGTCACCAGGGGACATGGGGGAGAGGAACAATCCTGAAGGCTTACACTACAAAGAGCCCTCGTCCATGGCACAAGCAACTCGATATCTATCCAGCTACAGCTACAAGAGTGGGCAGGTGACACAGATGATTGCTGCAAACATACGGGGAAATGCAAAGGCCCTCTACGTGGGAGGGAGTTCGGTGCTGCAGCCGATGAAGATGCTTGCCCTCAAGAATTCAGCTGCCCTGTGCCCAAAGGGACCTCAGGAGGCTGGGTGGAGGCAGGCAAGTGGTAAGCGGGGTTGGAAGGGGCACAGTAGCTTTCCCATGTACTTGGTAGTGGCACATGGGGACCATGCCAGCTCCAGGGGCCACCCCAGGAACCATGCCACCTTTGTGGGGTGGAGGCAAGGGGACACTAAACACCGATTATGCTACTGTTAGTGGCATTGAGGACACCTGTCTACCTGGGAGCAGGCTGAGCCATCAACCTACTCTCTTTCAGCCATCAAAGTCTTGATGAAAGATGCCTTGGAAGGAAAAGGCTCTCTTGTCCTCCTAAAATCCCTCAAACCACCCAGCACATCCTCAGATTGCTGATACCCTTGAGCCCCGCCACAGGCATGCTCTGAGGGGCTGCCCTGGCAGGAGGGGAAACAGCCAGACCCCAGAGATGCTCAATCTATCTTTGTAGTGGCCTGAGTGGCCTCCCTGAGGCTCAGAGCAATGTGCTCAGCCAATGGTCCTGCCCCAGTCACAGAATCATAGAATGGTTTGGGCTGGAAGGGACCTTTAAGATCATCTAGTTCCGACCCCCCTGCCATGGGCAGGGACACCTTCCACTAGACCAGGCTGTTCAAAGCCTCATCCAACCTGGCCTTGAACACTTCCAGGGATGGGGCAGCCACAACTCCTCTGGGCAACCTGTGCCAGTGCCTCACCACCCTCATCTGCTGGTTCATCCCTGTGCCGAGCTTCTCCCAAGGAGAGAGCAGTGGATGAAAGCACCAGGCAAGGAAGGGGGTGAGGAGGGTGAGGAAGGCAAAAGGAACAAGCCAGGGAGGGTGCAAGTGGGTGAGAGTGAGGGGCCAGTGTCACGGTGGCACCTGCTCATCCCTCCTCCTCAAGCTCCCACTGCACCACCTGCCCTGGTCGGCAGCACGGAGGAGGGCAGAGCAGTACAAAACTCATCCCTGGACACTTCTCCCCGCCATAGCACGGGCACTGCAGATGTCGAGCCACCCCGCACCCACCTGCGGAGGGGCACCCGCGGGCGCCACAGGCTCGGTAGCAGAGCCCAAGGGCAAGGCGATGTTCAGCAAAAAAAGACTGCAGAGGGTGCGGGCACAAACCCCACCGGCTGCGCCCCCATTGCTGTGGGGCTCCAGGGCAACACTCGCTCTCAGAGCAGATGAAGAGCGACTGGCCGGGGGTACCATTTCCAGCCCCAACATGCTCCGAGGGCAGCTCTGCCCGGCAGGCTGCCGCTTTTGCTGTCTCTGTGAGCCCTGGGATGCGTGGCAGGTGTAAAACTTTAGCTCTGCCACCCTTAGGTCTTTTTTCCCCCCCCTCTAACAGCACTTTCTGTCCTCTTTCAAGTCCATTTTCACCACCAACCTCTTCCTAGCACCTCCAGCTTGCCTCACCTTGCCCCCTGCCTGCTTGCTCACCAGCATTGGACAAACAAGGAGAAATACATCTCTGGAGCAGCTGCGCACTGTTGCCACAAGCCAGCCCAGAAGCAGAGCAGAACAGTGCAGAGAAATAAGAAAAAATAATAAAAATCAAGGTCTAGTAGCCGTAACACACAGTTGTATCCTCCTCCCACCCCGGCTAAGAGAAGACAAAGAGCTGACAAGCACGACGGCCACTTACGCCAAGGCAAAAGCCACCAGTGCTCCCACCACCACGATGAAATCCAGGATGTTCCAGAGGTCTCGGAAGTAGGAGCCGTCCTGCAGGATCAAGCCCTGATCGATCATCTGCCAGGGAGAAAATCGGTGAGAAAAATAGGCAAGGAATGAGGAGCTCGGCCATCAAGTGGAAGCAGCCGCAGGTGGGACGTGCTGGGGACAGGGACATCACAGGGAGCAGCAGACCTGTCCCTGTGTCCCAGGTATACATCAAGGAGCATTGTATTTTGGGAGCACCCTCAAATCCCAGCGCTAAGAACCAGGCTTTATAGTCTCCGGCATCCAAATTTAGGACCAGAACTAAAAACCTGAGCTATTTCCCACCCGCTGCAAGGACGCTGCGGGCCCCAGCCCGCGAGGGCTCTTACCTTGATGACCATCTCGAAGGTGAAGACACCGGTGAAGACATAGTCGAAATACCTCAGGACCTGCAGAGAGAGGGCACGAAGGGGCTCACCGGTGCCCACCCAGACCGCACTACCACCCCGCACCAGGGCTCGCCTGGCTCAGGTGCAGACAGGGGATTGGCTCGCTTGCCCCAGACCCAGTCTGTTCCCAGGGTGCCCTGATCCATGTCCCAAACACATGCCCCACCACGGAAGCTAAAATCCTGCAGGAGCTTGCCCAGGGGCTGCGGGGAGCAGAGAGGGTCTGCACTCACTTTGTTGCGGTCGGAGTTGGTGAGGACGGGATCCTCAGCCGCCAGGGCGATGCTGCTGGCGGCGATCACCAGGAGGATGCACATCTCAAAGTAGCGCAGGTTGACGATGTAGTGACAGGCCCTCCGCACCCTGCAGGGACACGGCCCGTGTCCACCCCACCTGCCAGCCCCTGGGTGTCCCCAGGCACGGCCCACGGTCCCAAATCCACCCACCCCACGTCACTGGCTTCCCACACGGAAAGATGGGCAGTAAAGCCTGAGAAGCAAAATGAGGGAGCCTGAGGGTGGTTTGGGTGTGCTGACCCCTTTTCTGGGCTGCCCCGGTGCCCTGGGCACCCTGCAGCCAGCCAGGGAGAGTCCCTGGGAAATTGGAGTGCTTATTCTTCCAGGCTGCTGGAGCTACATAAGAGCTACAGGGGAGCAGAAAATTGCAGAGGTGTGCAACAAGCATTGAATAAAAATCACCGCTTGGCCATCAGCTGGCAAGAGAGAAAACCCCGAGCGGGGTTGGCACATCGGCGGATGGCGCTGCCAGGGCTTGGGGACCACCATGGCTGGTGACCCAGGCTGTCTGGGAGATGTTCACCCGCTTCCCAAGGGGATCCTCTGTTTTCAGTGATGTCTCAGGGTCCTTCCCCTTCAGCCCTCCCCAGCCCTGGGCTCCTATGGTCCAAAAACCATCTCACGGGTTGGTGGTGCTGAAGATGAACATGGAGCTGTGCGGCACCATTGCTTTGCCCGTCTCGCTTTTCTCCTTCTTCCGTTTCTTCTTCTCCATCTCCTCCTCATCCTCTTTGGTCTCTGCCTCTTTCAAGGGGCTGGCTTCGCCGTCTGTCTTGTTGCTAACTGCAGGAAAGCGAGAGCCTTTGCCTGGCCTTACACCCCAACAGCACCCTGGGGTGTCCCTGTCTCCCCGACACAATCCTCCCCAACCCAGTTTCTGCTTTTTACAGGAAGAGGAACCAGAAGGGAAGAAAAAGCATGAGGTGAAGCAGACAAACGGGGTTTTAGTAAGGGCAGCTTTCACAGCGCTGTTTAATGAATGACACAGTTTGCGCGGCTCACCTTGACCCCAAGGATGCTGCTCAGGGCTTGGAGCGGCAGTGGAGGCTGCAGATGTGGTAGGAAAAACTGGGGATGCGAGTCTTTTACCCGGGTAGGGAGGAAGGGGGAAGGAGAAACCAGGTGATGGCATGGGTGGGAAGGAAGTGGGAAAGGGAGAACCTTCCCAGGGGATGGTGGCACATTGGGGCTGCATTCGGGCTCCCCTGCGAAACTGGGGTGCTGAAGGGAGGTGCTGCAAGGAACGGCAAGGAAAGCACCCCCTGCTCGATGGATGCGGATAGGAAAAGCCGTGCAAGCGGCTCTCCGTCCCGCCCCAGGGTCCCCGCGGGCCAGGAGAAGGGGCTCAGGAAAGAGAGACGGGTCCTCACTCTGTACCACAGCGGAGTCGTGGACATCGATCATGATGGCGGTGCTCTCCGTGGCCTTCTCCGTGTTGGGGGTGATGGAGGAGAGGTCAGGCTCGCTCCGGCTGACAGTGCGGCTGCCTTCCAGCAGCGCTTGCTCACTGGTGTCCAGGCTGCTGCAGTCCTGCTCTGTCAGGCTGCCCGTCTTGCCCCGGGGGGGCTCGGGCGCTGCTTGCGGGGTGCTCCCCTCCTCAGCGGTCCCAACCAGCTCAGCATCACCGCTGGGAATCCCGTTTGTCCTGCGGGAAGGAGGTGGGATGAAAAAAGGTGTGAGGAGATGAAGGGAAAGGACAAGGAGCTGTGGGAACTGCGAGATGCCCTCCCTGGGTACCAACCTGACCGGCTCCCCGCTCGCCTCTGCTGTGGCCACATCTCCACACTGGTCCCCGTCCTGTGTTCCCTCCGCAGGGCTGGCCTCCTCCAGACCCGTCTCCTGGCTGGCTGAGCGGCTCCCCAGGGTGCCAGCCGGCTCTTTCCCCTCAATGCGGGCTCTGCGGTGCCGGCTGCGCCGCTGGCTCTGCCTCATCCGTGCCCTGTCCTCCGTGCCCCCTCCTGCCCCATCCTGCTCGCCTGGCTCACAGTTCCCATGGCACGATTTCTGGTGCCACGACTCCTTGTCTCGCTTGGCCCGGGGCGACGGACTCCTCCTGTCCTCAGCGCCACCGGGGTTGGCCCCCGGGGCCGGCTGCTCAGGTCCCTCGGCTGACGGCCGCTCGCCCTTGCCGCTCTGATCCTCGGCACATTTCTCCAGGGCGACGCCATCCCCCGGTTTCTTCCTGCGGAAGATGCTGGCGTGGGGGTTGATGAGGGGCGGCTCGTCTTTGTTGATGCCCCCCTGGCTGGGCAACTGCCTT